TCTATCAAGCTTCCGATGTGCCAGCCCGTATGCCAATCCGGCTGTCCCGGTCCGTCCTGAGAGAGCCAGGCATACTGCGAGTATATCCATGAAGGTGGTATTATGAGTCTGGGGCCATTTTTAATATGCGTGGCTCAAGTGGAATTAGATTGCAAATATATTCCCAGACGTAGAACTATAGGGGAATAATATAGGAGTTAAAGGGGGATATATGGTTGGGGCGCCTCCGAATCCAATAACCTCAAGTCGATTGCGTATGTACTTTCCCTGTTTCAAGTGTTTTCAATGAGCTACAGCAGACTTCATTGATTCTTTATACTCCAATATAGAAAGATTGTGGTCGAGTCTCGTAATATCAGCGCCGCCAGTGGCCGAATTGTAATTATTTGCCAAGCCACCATTCGCCGCTGAACCTTTTCCCCATATTCGGGGCTGATTTCACTTTCTCCTCCATTTCGCCTCTCCTTCTTCCCCGCTCTTCAAATTCCACTCCAAATTGATCTTCCCCGGAACGACCTCGCGCTCCATTTCGGAAGCGCCTTCTTTTTTCCCCGACCGTGCCGAAGGATGCTTCGGGCTTGGGTCCTGGGGTATCCGCACCCGTCATGATCCAACCCGCTCCCGACGAATTGCCATCGAAAACCCCTGGTGTCCGCTTTGATGTAGGCCAGGAGGAGGCGGCAGCAGCTCTCGAGGATTTCGATACCCAAAGCCATGCAAGTTCCCGTGACCCTGGTAGCACACAAACCGTCGACCCCGCGCTAGGCCCAGACAACGGGCGAGACGACTCCGGCAACGGCCCGTCCAATTTTGAACATCTAAACGACGACGATAAACCGGCTTGGAGCGAGATGAAGACCAAGGCGGGGAAGGAGCGGAAGCGCCTGCCACTGGCATGCATCGCATGCCGCCGCAAGAAAATCCGCTGCTCGGGCGAGAAGCCTGCCTGCAAGCATTGTACGCGCTCGAGGATTCCGTGTGTTTATAAAGTTACTACGCGGAAGGCGGCGCCGCGCACGGATTATATGGCTATGCTGGACAAGCGACTGAAGAGGATGGAAGATCGCGTAATCAAGACAATACCTAAGGAGGAGACAAGGGATATGCTTTCTATTGGAAGATCGGTTGTCAGACCTTCCGCCTCGGCTCAGCCGTCAAAGGCACAGAAGAAACGAACCGCAGATGAGGCATTTTCGGCAGAGATGGATGAATGGACTCGTGGGCACAGCCGCCCACCACACGAGACGTTCCCAATGAATCGTGAACCTAAATCCACCGATGGGACTGGGCTTCTTATCGAAGGAGCTGAGTTTCTGCCCTCACTGGAGATTCAAGAGCATCTTGCGGAGGTATTTTTTGATTGTGTCTATGGGCAGTCATACCTCTTATTACACAAACCCAGCTTTATGCGACGGCTCAAAGCAGGCACAATTCCCCCTGTCCTAATTCTTGCTGTCTGTGCCGTATCTGCGCGATTCTCCACACATCCTCAGCTGAACTCAGATCCGCCATTCTTACGTGGAGAAAACTGGGCTAATCCTGCAGCGGCCTTCGCTCTGAGCCGGCATGACGAGCCGAACATTACAATTCTTACGGTTTTCTTACTTCTTGGTCTTCATGAGTTTGGGACATGTCATGGTGGGCGAAGTTGGTCTTTTGGAGGTCAAGCATTACGGATGGCATACGCGTTGCAGCTCCATCAGGAGCTTGATCAGGATCCATTACCCAGTCAGAACAATGGCAACAGCTCAAAGTTGAGCTTCACAGATCAAGAAATTCGGCGCCGGACTATGTGGGCATGTTACTTGATGGATCGGTATAACTCTTCCGGAAGCCAACGGCCACCTATTGGGAATGAGAAGTTCCTACAAATACAGCTTCCTATCAAGGAACCCCACTTCCAGATGGAGATACCTGGTCCGACGGAAGATCTTGATGGCGATATTCTTAATCCTGTACCTGACGATGCCGGCCAATTATCTAACGCTAAAGAAAACATGGGTGTTTCAGCGTACATTATCCGCGCTATCGTCATTTGGGGGCGCATTGTCGACTACCTGAATCTAGGTGGAAAGAGTAAGGACTTACATCCACTTTGGCATCCAGAGTCAGGGTACATGCAGCTTAAGCGGCAAATTGAGGAGTTCTCCGCGTCTCTTCCGGCGCCTTTTACCTTCACCTACGAGCATCTTCAAATCCATGCAGCGGAGAAGATTGCAAATCAATTCATTTTCCTCCACATTATCATACACCAAAACATGCTGTTTCTCAACCAGTTCGCCATTCCCTTGTCCCCGGGGGGGCGTCCACCAAGAGATATGCCAAAGTCCTTCCTCAGTAATGCAGGTCGAGCCGCGGTGGAAGCGGCGCATCACATTTCAGTGCTTTTTGATCGGGCTTCAGCCTACCCCCTCACTGTTCCTTTTGCTGGATACTGTGCTTACTCGGCAAGTACAGTCCACATCTGGGGGATATTCTCGAAGAACGTTCAGCTAGAGGCACGGTCAAAAGAGAACCTACGGCATACGTACCGCTATCTCAATAAAATGAAAAAGTATTGGGGCATGTTTCACTATATGGTTGAGAGTGCCAAGGATCGGTATCGGCAGTTCGCCGATGCAGCTATCAAGGGCTCTGTGGCAACTCAGAATGGTGCATCGCTAACGCCCATGTTCCAATATGGTGACTGGTTCGATAAGTATCCCCATGGAGTGTCAAGAGTGCATTGGGAGGACCCCGATACCCGGCACAAAGAAACGGGCGAAGACGCAGTTATGGGCCAGAAACCTGACCTCCAGAGCGTGGAGGATTTCTTTGCCGGCCTTTCCCCTACTCCACAGCCAAGCCAACCGCGCAAATCGCGGTCTCGGAAGAACAGCAAACTATCCGATGGAGCTTCAGGCATGGAACAGTCTTCATCACCATCAATGATGGAAGTAACCATCGGAAATACCCCGAGTGTTCCAGGCAGCGCATTCCCACAGCCATCCATGCTCCAACAATCCCGACCAATGTCGTTCGGCCAACCGCCATTCGACTTCGGTATCCCACCAGACCAATTACCGCAGCTAGACCGGCAATTCGTCTATGGTTCATTTTCCGAATTCGACCCCAGCTCATTTGTCCCAAACAACCCTCCTATCCCACCACTCAATGGCGTCCAAACACCAAGTCCAGATCAAACACTGTTCACGGGCCATCTGGACCCAAGTGCCCCTGCTGGAATGGGCGAGTTCTACCAGCCCAGCGCGTGGTTCCTGCCTTTCAATCTTGACCCTGTTGGCGGTGGAAACCAACCATCACAAGCTCCACCCCCAGCTCCCATGCCTGGGGTAGTTAATAGTGGCGGCACGCCCGGGCTCCCTTCTGTAGATATGTATGGCTTCAGGGGTGCTGGTGGCATGCCTTTAAGCGCATATGACCTTGGTTTGACTGGTTCGAATATGAAAGTCTCACGGCCATGATCGGATCATGTACTATCCATCAGCTAATGCTTTCTCGACGACTGCTACGTGGTGTTTCACTTTTCTTTACGATGATTTCAAAGGGTTGGAGTCGGACTTTTGGGGCTGGGGTTTGTTACTTTTCGCGCTGCTATTCATATTACCCCATTTGTGTTGATTTGTGTAAATATTATTGTCTTGTCTACGGCATTTATATCCCTTTTTTGGGGCAGATGTTCTGAATAATATAAGTCTAATGGCTCGGTCTTCTTGGTTAGACATTACAACTTTCCGAATGACTCCGGTGATCTAAAGAAATAAATAAAAAAGCAATTGGAATCTTTTTCCTCTGCCAAATAAAATCCTGCAAATGAGATACAAAAAAGTAAATGTTGTGCATCATCCGTGAATCGAACACGGGCCTCGTCGATGGCAACGACGAATTCTACCACTAGACCAATGATGCTAGTTGTATGATTTGTTCCTCACTGTAGTGACTATGTTTGCTTAGACTCACGACTATAATTCACATTGAAAGTAAGATCAAATAGTTATAAAGTAGGTATGCGTAATTGAATTTGATAGATGTGATTGGATAAGTTCATTTAGAATTTAATCACAATTCTGCTCACATTTGAACAAGTCTGTAGGCAATGTGTGAATTGATATGGTACACAGAGTCTTGAATGTGAATATATATTCCACCGACCTCGAGAGATATGTAAACGCTTACAAAATATGATAACACGGGAATTATTTGCATCACAGATAAAAAGACAAGGGCGAAGGCCTCGAAATCTATTGTTTGAAAGAGCTGAGGAACAAAAGTGGCAATAGCTGCCAGACGAAAAAGGCAAGGAAAGTGTATAGGAAAGCAGAGAAGATAAAGTAAAAGCAACCCTCGACTAATCATCCCACTCTTCATCCAGTTGATCTATGAGCCTGTTCTCGGCATCCACGTCACGCCCCTGACCGCGTCCCCCACGCCCCCCACGTCCTCCGATGGCGCCGATGAAACCGCCACGGCCGTCCGAGTCCGCGCGGGTGTAGCCATTGCCTGCGGCGGACCCCCTGCAACGGAAGAGGTTACCTAGCGACGAAAAGAGAATCACGAACATGTCCTGTTGGTGCAGAAAGAAAGAAGTGGTCAGTGTCATGTTTCAAACAATGAGGCTCGCAATTGAAACCAATCATTTAAGTACACGCAATAAAACATATAGTCCGTCTAACCAAGTAAGAGGAGCTGTCTCCTACCATCCCGAAGATGAAGTGGCAGATTCATTGACAAGTACCCAAGGGACAATCCACTTGCATGAATCAAGACATCTTGTCAAACATATGGAAATGTAGACGCCGTGATCAACACAGGCGGTCAGAATCAAAGGAAAGAACATGCAGGTAAAAAAAAGAATGATCTATGCCTGACAAGAAATAAGGAAATGGATGGGACAGGCCAACCGCAATCGTCTTTCCCGAAGGGATTGGTCCCTAGACTAGCCAGAGCGAGTTCAATCCATCCTTGAAACAGGTAGTCCTGCCCCATTTGAATCCCGAAACTTATGCGACACGAACTTGCCATGTCTGAATTTGCGACGAGGCCAACATGGGATCAATGCTAGGATACTTACTTTGACAAAGTCGAAAAAGCCAGCCCACAGGCTGAAGTTTGGACACTGGCGCCAGCCACGTTGATGCATGACCGTTCGCTGGTAGGCGCAGCCACCAATCAGATATACGGCGATGGCGATCACCATACTAGAGGACAGGGTCAGCATGGATTATATGGGGTGTTCCCCCAAGACACAGAAGGGGTGCTCACATCACACCGAATACGCCGCCCGGTCCCAAGCCGCCGGCGTTGGGATCTACGGCGATTCCACCACATGCCGCCGAGCTACGGACTTCGAAGAAGTATGAGCACTCATCCATGGAGCCAACGAAGGAAGCCGTGGCCACGTTTGGCGCAGCGTCGCGGTCACATAGGAAAGACATGATAGTCGACTTATTGCGTGTGGAGGCATTGGAACTGCCCGTGTTATAATTGTCCGGACAAGGCGAGCCATTGGTATAATTGAGAACGAGTTTGCGGCCACGGAAGAAAGGTTCAGATGCTTGTTGCCTGTATATGACCGAGAATCGTTAGCACAGTAAGCAGGGAATACAACTAGTGTATCCGGTTTAGATAGAGATCTGCCATACCCTATGGAGTATCTTTTATCATCCCGCTCGTAATATGCACTGACGTTCTTCCACCGCGATGACTCTATCCCGACCACATCCGTCACGTTCTCAATGACCGGCGCGCATATGTTGATTGTGAAATTAGCCGGGTAATCATGACCCCTGGCATACCAGCTCTCGGTCCGCGCATCCTTCGCGAGTTTGTTTCCGTCCTTCATTTTGGGCGGGGATAATGAGATCGCATTGAGGTCGAAGTACAATCCAGTGGTCGGCGAGCGGGCAACACAGGGAGCGTCATCTTCAAAATGGGAAGAGTATGATGCGCTAGATAATCCGAGAATTGAGGATAGAAGGAAAATGGAGTAATGAGCGGAGCTAGTGAGCCTCATGGTGGACTGGTCACCCAGGCCTAAGGCAGTCTGAGAATAGAACGAGATGAAATGGAATAAAGTAAAGAATGTGGAGAGACTAGAGAAAGATATATAACCTGCAAAATGATAGAAATGACCTTAATGGATCGGTGCGAAGGAGGTAGGTTGTATGCGTGCAGGTAACGCCGGGCTGATAGAGATAGAGGCTTACGTAGCATCACCGCTGTGGGGGCGATGCGGAGCAAACCTGGCGGAACACCAACCATCCGATGTCGTACGCGCCTTAAGGCTCCCGGGTCTTATTTAAGGATCTTCCCCAGCTCTTGGATTATTTCTCTGTCTATCCATTGGCCCAGTCATCACTTCAATATGCCTACCAAAAAGGACTCCATAAAAACACCCGTGCAGCCAGTGCCGGAGAAACGTGGTTATGAGTTTGGTGGACCGTATGTCTTTTCCCTTTCAATCGCGTTAAGCTGAGCTGACATTTGCAATAGACTAGGTGCTTTTGGTATTATATTTGGATTGCCCATCCTGATCTACCTCTTTACCTTCGTCTGCAACGATGTCTCTGGTTGTCCCGCACCATCGCTACTGAATCCCTCGACTTTGTCACTCGAACAATTGAAGCGTGAAGTGGGTTGGCCGGAGGAGGGAATCACGGCGCTTTATGATACCAATGTTACACTGTGGACACTGAGCTACTATGTCTTCAGTCTGTTCTTGCAGGTCTTCCTTCCCGGTCAGGAGGCAGATGGTGTTGTGTTGGCCTGCAGAGGACAACTGAAGTATAAATTCAATGGTATGGCATTGGCAGCAGTCCTCCCTCACACATCGCATTCAAACATTGAAGTTTTTTTTTTTCTGACTCGGCTCATTTGTAGCGTTCTCCTCTGCCATCATTATCCTCTCGGGCCTCACCGGGGGCACTTATCTCTATGGAGCCGACTTTGTGGTGTGGACATTTCTATGGGACAACTATGTCCAGGTCATTACAGCAAACTTGTTGATCTCTTCTTTTGCTGCACTGTTCGTCTACGTGAGGAGCTTCACAGTTCCAGCCCCAGGGCAGGCAAACCCAAATCTACGAGAGCTGGCACCTGGTGGCCATACGGGCAACATGCTCTACGACTTCTTCATTGGACGTGAACTCAACCCTCGTGTTCGCCTGCCCATTCCGTTTGTCAGTGAGGCATCGCGTACTGTCGATATTAAGGTGTTCATGGAGATGAGACCGGGCTTGCTTGGATGGACAATTCTGAACCTGTCCAATGTAGCCCACCAATACCGAACCTATGGCTATATCACTGACTCAATTGTGCTGGTCACTCTTTTCCAGGGATTCTACATTCTTGATGCCCTATACATGGAGCCAGCAATCATGACCACCATGGATGTAATCATGGACGGATTTGGATTCATGTTATCTTTTGGCGACGTGGTTTGGGTGCCCCATCTGTACAGCATCCAGAGCCGTTATCTCTCTGTCTTCCCCTACGAGCTTGGCTTGACCGGTATGGCTGTTGTTCTAGGTGTCACAGCCGTTGGATATTCGATCTTCCGCGGCGCCAACAATCAGAAGAACCGTTTCCGCACGAATCCCAATGACCCCCGCGTGAAAAACATCAAGTACATCGAAACTGCCGCTGGATCTAAACTGATGATCTCCGGCTGGTGGGGTCTGGCGCGTCACATCAACTACCTGGGCGACTGGACTATGTCGTGGGCCTACTGCCTACCAACTGGTGTTGCGGGATATGTTCTCATCGAGAGCATCAACCCAGCCAGTGGCGCTGTCCAGAAGCAAGCCATGCAGACCCCAGAAATCCGTGGCTGGGGTATGATTTTCACATACTTCTACATGCTCTACTTTGGTATCTTGTTGATCCACCGTGAGATGCGTGATGAGGAGAAATGCGAGAAGAAGTATGGCGCTGACTGGAAGCGTTATACCTCGATCGTCCGCAATCGCATCATCCCTGGAATCTACTGAGAGATTTTATCAAGAACTACTTTCACATGTTTTTGGATTTACTTCTATGCCTTATTTTTGTATATTAATGATCCCGAATACTTTTATCTGCGATTACTTTTATAATAGGCCCACCGAATCAAGCCTGCTCTCAAGGGTATAAGGAGCAAGATACTAGCTATCCCAATCCCCGGAGTCATCTCTGATATTCTGACTCGATCCGTGAGCTGTGTTCGGCATGCCAGGGATATCGGAATTTCCTATTAACCGAGCAATCGGAGTTGGCCACCAAAGGAATATCTGCATGAATTGGTCTATGTAACCGGGCGGGAATTACTCGAATAAGATAGATTGCTCGTTCCGATCAACTTAAAATTATTCCTCAGTGTCAATCCCATGGCAATAACTACCAAGTAGAGGAGGGAGGGATGGAGGGAATAGGGGAAATTATTTACATAATTGATATCGAAAGTGAGACGCGAGTTTGAAACTCATTGAACAAATGTACCAGTATGAACCGTTCCGTTGTTCTTCAATCATCTTCAGAATCTTCAAAATTGTCACCTGCCTTCCTCATAGAATCAACCATGTGAGTTTTGAGCTCATTGACGAAGCGATCAATCTTTCTCTTGTAGCTGGCGCCAGAGTCCACAAGGAAGTTATCATGCACACTCATATAAACGAAGACAGCAAAATGGTGACGGGTCAGCCGTTCTAGTCGCATATCTTGCCGTTGTGCTTTTGTCTTGTTGAAGATATGAAGGGTTGACAAGTAGTCTAGCTCCTTTGTCTCGCATGCGTCGTAAACCCGAGGGCCGTCCAATATCCGGCATTCGTTGTCAATAAAGTACTTGGCGAATGGAACAAGCACATCTCGGAATCCATATTGACAACCTGTTGTATCGATAATCCATGTTTCGTTCCTCTCCATCCGTTCTATCTTCAAAACCGCGTGCGGACCGCCGTACAAGTCAGGACCAGGAACAAGCCTAGTTGGAACCCGTGGCCTCCCGATATTGACGACCATGGTCTCGATTTTCAAGGGTACCCCTGCTTTGTTTCAGCCATGTCTCACTTGGGTACTTAGGAGTTAGAAATAATTCTTACCTCCAAGGAGTTTTCTGGTCAAGGGACCTAAGAGTGACATGGCTGCTGTGGATTGGCTTTTCAGGAGAGCCGCTTCCTTGTGGTCGATGTTGTCAGTGATGTGGTTTGGGAAGGGACCATGTTTAGATAGAGATGAAACCGGTCTTTGATTTTGATGGAGATACAGGACTCCATCTCGATACTCAATCTTGGTTAGATCCACGTCGTATACAGTCTCTCTGTATGCCAACATGGCTGCCTTCAATATCAGGGCAGCTCGGAAGAGTAATCTCCGTCGCTGCATATTCTTGCAATAGGCTTTGTGTTTTGGCCAGTCCATTATCTGACACTTGTGGCTGCAGTAAAAAACAACTCGAGAATCGCCGCTTTGGTATTCGGGTGCATGCGAGCAGCCCAAACACATTGTCTTAGCTTTTGTCTCACATTTTGCACACTCGGCTAGAGCCTTCGGAGTCATTTTGAAGACAAAGCTGGAGTATGAAATCAGTGCTCTCTTGAAGAAGCGGATTCCTCTATCGAATGTTGCTCATGGGAGTTGACATCTAAGGTGTGAAGTCGTAGCTTGGTGAGACTGGAATCAGAAAGCATGGGAGAAGAAAGATAGTGGTGAGAAGAACAAGAACAAACAATCAAAGGTGTGAGAAAAACCCTGAGACATCCCATTGTTGACATTCTCTTGGACTCATTGACACCCTGATTGATTAGATCGCGGTTTTTTGTTTGACGCCTTTGGCTGCCAATCAAGAACGGTACAAACCAGTCCTCTTCTTTTCTCTCTGATAGCAAGAAGTTTTTTAAACATATGGCTTTTTTTTGTTTAGAAACGATATATGGGTATCTTGAGAGGGGAATACGATAGGTTTACTATGTATGGCCTAGAGTAATCTTTAGCACTCTTTCATCCCTGGACACAATCAACGCTTTCGCTTTTTGGGGTCAACCAAAACATCCAAGCCCCAAGATTCATCTCCTGCATTAGGAATCCATCCCTTGAGAACCACTTTCGCATCCCTGATGGCCTGCATACGGATTTGCAACGGGTCTCCTAATCTGGTAGGATTTTTGAAATCCTGGTAGGTGGTTATATCTGGCATGTGTTGTTGAACTGCCTTGATATGAGAATCTTCAGTCCCCAATAACGGTCCGGCTGGGGAGACATCAGTTGTATAGGTGCGTGGAACGGATGTAGGCCCAATTTCGCGAAATAGAGACCAAAGCTTGGCTCGGGATAGAGAAGAGGCTCCACGGGCACCAGGTGAGGATGCCCGGTTTCCTTGCTTCACACCGTTGATGATAGTCTCATACAAACCAGTCTTGGAACGGCAAAGAGTTGGCACTGACTTGCTGCCGGTATCCATGGTCATTACCAATGGGTGATGATACGAGGGAGCCAATACCCAAATGGCGCTCACATTCCCTGGCCTGGTCTTCCTAACATTTGTACCGGGGCTCGAAGGGTCTCCTTGCTGCTCCACAGAAGCTGCAGGAAGAGGCCCGGATTTGGGCTTAGCGAAACGCCAAAGTGCTGTCACCTCTTCACTCGGCACCGAAAGAACCTGGAATGGCCGGAATCGATATCCTGGTGTGCTTTCTTTGAAATTTGCCCCTCTAGGCCAATATCGCCCACCCAAAGGCTGCATTCGGCCATTCTCGCCAAAGGAACGGGCACAGCCAACTTGGCTTATTTCGTCCTCAGGAAGAATCAGACCTGCTAGATAGGCGTTTTCTGTAGGAGCAATGAGGCGACTGGTCTCACAGGACAGCAAGGAGGAAACCTGCCGTAATGCAAGCTTGTCTGAGCAGGACTTGCTGCGTGTGGACTCGGCGTCCATTCGTGCTGGCTTTCGACGTACGACCCCGAGAAGAGAGAAATGGGCCCGGCCATCTAGAAGGGTCTCTGTATCTGGGAGCTCTGCGTCTTGGATTTCTGACAAAGAGGCTTCTTGCTGTGAAATCTCCCACGGTGTAGCGTCTTCTTGAGCTGCCATGCAGAGCTCCATGCTCGCATCGCCGCAGGGAGCACATGTGCAATACATGTAAATCTTGATATCAGGCCGAAGCTTAAAAGGCGGCCATTCTGTGGGCGGTGTACTAGTATTATCTTCATCCTCTTCAATCTCTCTCCTTTGTATAAATGGGGAATCTGAGATTTTCTCATTATCGAGGGTACAAGTATCATGGCCATTCGGTAATTGCTTCTCCCGAAATAGGACACTGTTGCATTCTGTCAAGAGCCAATAATTGAATGCTCGGATGGCCAATATCTCGGCGTGACAGTCATGTAGTACAAGACCCCTACAGCGTGGGATGTGAGATGCTGACAAGCATTTTGCGCCACTCCTACATGAATATCAGTGAATATGGGTCAGACTTGGAAGTGGGGAATTCAAAACTTACGTGACAGATATGCAGGTCAGACTTTCAGAATGTGTGTTTTCTCCTATAAGGGAAGAGACAAAAACGTTACTATAGAACATCAAGTGTTGTGAGGATGAAGTAAAAAGCAAATGATGGACCCATCCCCTTCACACTACATGCATGGATGAGGGATGATAACCTGGTCATGGTAAGTAATGGAGCATACCTTTGACAGCTACAATACCAGTCATTGGAATCCATTCTCTCGATCCATCCGGAAATATGGTTGGCTTACTGCGTGTTGGCAGAGCATCGAAATGTGCATGAACCAGCGATGCTATCCGGGACGGTAATGATGAACTAGATGTGTCCACAGACATTGGATATGGTCACAGTCCGAGTAGCAATTTTCTAAACAACCAAAGGCTTTGTTGAAGGCAAAGACAGGATTGAAGAATCCCAAGATGCCCACACAGTCACGTGTTACCCATATAATATATGCCTGAGGCATAATTAGTTCCCTTCTATCTTTTGTCGTCCTTTCAAGTTTCCCGCGATCCTTCTCAGTCCAACGTCAACATCTCTATTCTCCACCATGGCCGACAAGCTCCGTACCATCCAGAACCTTGAGGCTCTCCAGGCCCGTTACATCGGTACCGGACACGCCGACACCACCAAGTACGAATGGACATCCAACATCCTCCGTGACAGCTACTCCTCCTACGTTGGTCACCCTCCTCTGCTATCCTACATGGCAGTCGGCATGGGCGAACCAAAAGAGAAGGTGCGCGCAATGATGCTGGAGAAAATGGTTAGAGGCGCTGGTAATCCGCCAGAGGTATGTGGCATCTTGCGGAGTTGCTCAGCATATACAAGGATGGGTTGGCTAACAAGTGCTCTCCAATGATTAGACTCAAGAGTAAACCTACTAAGTGTGGCTTATTCTTGTTTTCCTTGATACCCCTTGTCGCGTCCTCGGATTTCCATACAGATCCCCCGATATTCCGACCACCCCTCGATTCCTTCGGTAGGAATAACAATTCCAACTCAACATATGAAACGCTCTAAACGAACAAGGCCGTCGTATCCCTCTTTCTGGCAGTTGGTATCCCCGAGTGTTTGCCCGTATTCTGGAACCTCGAGAATCTTTCAATTCTTGTCAGTGAGCGGACAACTTGTGATATACCCTGCCTACCACATGAAGTTATCAGCAAGTTCTGAACTACCCAACTAGCACCATGGCCTGTAGATGGCCTGGAATTGCTTGAAGAGCATCAGATTACTCAACTGCACCCAATGCATAGGGAAAACAGTCCCAGAGCCGTATCTTCACTTGATCTATCATGGTCTGCAATATCATAATCAAATCATCATGACGATAATGTATTGAGACATGAAGATATCCAATTCCAACCTTCATTCCGTAGAAATATGCAGTAAAAGACATAGGACAAAGTATGTCGTTATAAAATCATAGGACATGTCAGACCCTCCCGTCAAAATCAAAACAAGAAAAAAAAAACAACGAGTATGTACAAGCCATAGAATTATGGTCATCCACCAATTAAGCAACCTCCGACTTTGCCGCCAACTTCGTATTCTCCGCCTGCAACGAAGAAACAAGATCGACCCATTTCTGGCGCTCAGAGCGAAGCTGCTTGACCTCTTTCTTGAGATTATGTACCTCCTGCTTCAAGGTATCAACCTCGGACTTGTTTTTGGACTTAGACTTCTCCGAGCGCTCCTCATCCTTTTGCTGCCTTGCTTGAATCTTCGACGCAACCTTCAGTTGGTTAGCCTCGATCTTGCGCAGCTGCTTAAGCAGCTTAGATTCTCCGTGGACATAGTGGGTGGCTGCTTTGGGGAGATGCGACGGGTCGGGGGTTGCCATCCGCCCAGGAGATGGTTGGTCTTCATTGCTGATCTCGCTCTGCGGTTGGCCTTGGCTCTGCTGTGTGCGAGTGCTGGCAGGCCTGGAAGACCTATTCGTCGCTGCGCGCTTGCGCATTCCGGTAGTGTCACCATCTGCCTCGCTGATGCCTTTTACTGGGGTCCCTGAGACACTAGGCGGTTGCGATGAGATTTGGAATTTGTCGATTTCGGCGCGGACTTCCTCTAGCTTGCTTTCAACCTTGCGTTTGCGAATGGCTAGCTTTGCGAGCTCCTTCTCGTTGGAACTGAGCTTGCCATTCTTTGTCATTTGGATCAGTTCCTCCGGGGACATGTTATTCGTTACGTCCTCGACGGCAGTTGCTGCTTTTTCGGAATTGGCCGAGGATAATGAAACATCGTCTTGCTCTTGGGATCTTGAAGATTCGGCGTCCAACGCTGATTTATTTTGTTGGGCAATTTCTGGACGTAGATGTCTCATTCCATCTGCATCAATGTAGGAAACCTCATTCTCGGCTGGTAGATCACCCGATACCCTAGTGGGGGCGCCATAGCCTAGAACTTGTGGCGCGAACCGTTCCAGTCCAGTATTGAGCAAGCCAGTGACACTAGCAATCAGACCATGATGGGACTGGTCGGAGTCGCTGTCGAGTGATTCGTAATCCGAATCCGAGTCATCTTCCTGGTCGGAGTCGTATTCATTCACAGACTCCCCGGGTTTAGCCTTGACGCCTGATAAAGTATCTGCAGCTTCCGTTCCTGTGATTTCTCCTCGCTTGGGCGGCTTGTCATCTTGAAGAGCCCAATTGACGAATTTAGCGGCGTCTGTCCCCACGCTTCGTGGTGTTCCCTTGTCCACCATCCACCGCGGGATGTTCCCGCCCGGATCACTCCTGCTGACCATGATCCATTCAACAGGATTCATTTCTTCATGTTCCTCATCCCCAGCTCCATCCTGCCCAGGTAGCCCCACAGGGCGTTGCGAATTGGAGGACGCAGAATCACTATTCTTCTTACTCCCCTGGCTAGAAGAGCTGCTCCCACTGCTGTGCTTCTTAGGAATCTCCCGAATGAGCTCGACAGACTCATACTGTCCGCGAGTGTATCCCTGTTTATGCGGGATACCGGGGTGTTCACACGGCTTAGAGATCATCATCCAGCTGCGACCTGGCTGCTTAGTTCCGCCAATTTGCAATCCAGAATCGGAATTGATGATCAATTCCACAAAATCGCGGGGAGAAGTAGGTTTGGGAAACTGCGCCGATACATGGTAAACAACTAAATGGCCCAGAACCGAACCATCATGATCCTTGACCTCAATAGTATCCATCTTTCCTTCGGCGCCGATCCCGCGAATGCTCTTGTCAGGCGTGTGCCCCCTCTCAATCTTTCTGCGGTTTACTTTGAGCGTTTCATCGTACTCAGATGAAAGCTTCTTCCGCCATCGTGAGAATGGCATGCCCTCATGCACACTCCGTCGCCCGAACCATGAGCCCCCGCCGTCATTTGCGGAAAGTTTCCACACAGTCACGTCTAACGGGTTGTCCTTCGGTCCGCCCATCTTGAGCGGCTTCCCCCATTCCTTTTGCAGGTCTGTAATTTCCGAATCGGTCTCTTCCACTCGTGCGGGTGATGGGACTATTCGTCGGTCGGAGGAATTCGGTGTGTCGTCTAATCCTGGGTAGTCGTGATTATCGGAGATTGGAGGGTCTGGAAGTGACTCCGCTATCAGGCGGCTGTTTTTGAAGATCGCGCGCAAGTAGTCACGGAGCTCGTCGGGATCCTGGGGGACTTCGTCCCATGACGTCGGTTTGAGGCATTGGAGGGCATCGTGTAAGGTAGCCATATGTGCAGTAGGAGTGCCCTAATATTTGAAGTCCTCTCCTTCTGTGATGTTATCCAAGTTGTGCCGGTAGTGCAAGTGACCTCGGGATGTCCACTTGTTTCAAGTAGCGGGGTTTGTCAGCTCGTGGTTATGCCGGGATTAGGCCACGGAGGTGGGATAAGCGGGTGGCGGACACTTGGGCACCAAGATAATCCGAATCTAATGAAGATTGCAATGTCTAACAATCCTCAGGTGGCTTGCTTAGGCGGAAATGGTTCTGTGCAGAAAGGCTCTAGGTTATCAATTGCTGAAGCATGAGCTGGTAAATCCCAGATAAGAGACAAATGCAACGAAATTACATGCAAAAAGCCAATATCAGATAAAAGAAGCCAGATATAGATGCAAGTATAGAAAAGAAGTGACCTGTGAACGAAACACGCCGAGTCTCGATCAACTTGGATATGATGTAGGCCGGGCTGTCTTGGCGGTTGACGTTGACGTCATACACCTGGGGTAAATAACTATGTATACACAACCAACATCATCTGGATGTTGAGACATGTATTTATATTCAAATTTTTGTTATGATGAGTCTTATTCTATTAGGAAATGCCGGACACTGTGTTTGATACTTTACTTCCGACGAATAGGTACAAATTGAGAGGAAGAAATTGTGCAAGCTCTTTTCAAAACTAAGCTAAAGAGATACATGGAAGATTTGGACAGAGCTGCTGATGGATCAACAAAAAAGACCAGGAGAAAAGGAGCAACCAGCGCGAGGGACCAGCCCCTCGACCAAACAGATCATAAAGGAGAGTATCTATCAGATCGAGCATCTGATTCTTGTCGTCGGGATAAAGAATGAAGGGCTCTTACATCCAGTGAAAGAGCCCACCGACAGACCAAGCTTGTCCAGGAATATCTAAAAACCAGCCTGGACGATAGAAGATGAATCTATCAGCCAACTATGGCCATTAGAGGTGAGTTCGTAGCACAGAGGACGGAGATGACTGCCACTCATACCACTTGCCGCTTGGGGCGGAATGTGAAGATCCCCAGGTCACAGACCAAAGGAGGAAATCCAGTGCATCGCCCTTTGCGCTCGGAATCTACCACAGGCGGATGTACTCGAGTCTGACAAGGGTTGAAGGCAATCTTCTCCCACACTCGTGTTGCTGATCTGCACCTCCTTGAACCAAAGATGACAAAAATGCGTGCTCCAATCAAGTATCACAGATACATGGATGAAGGTGACGCCATCGCATAAACATATCCTCTAATTCTCAGATAAAGAGAACTAGCCAGTCCAGTAACCAGTACCAGAAGGACAGACCTCGTAAGAAAGGAGGAAACCAAAGGCAGACGCTGAACCCAGTCCAGTCGGGTAACCCATACTTGCTTTCTTCCATTTCCAGGAGCTGCGGTAGAAGAATCGAAAACATAACGTTGGACATTCCACGTCCAAATTCATATCCTCCACATGCCGTGAGGCAGACCAGTCTTCATGACATATATGCGGGAACAACAAAAGAAACGAAACATAACAGAGAGCCGACCCGCCGCTTCTTAATGCAAAGAAAAATGAAAAAGAGAAAGAAAAAAAAAGACACGCTGGCGCTAGAATCAAACATCAAAACTATCAAAACAAGCGCAGAAAAAGATAATTCTGGTTATCATGCAAAAGGCAGGAGGGAGTATCACAGATGCACAGTGTCAAATCAAAGAGAACGCCGTCAAGGATGCGAATTGTCGTTGCTTGGAATCGGGTTCCCGGTAGGGAGAGACGAGAGAGAGGAGTTGGGGAGTCAAGAAGAAACCGAAAGAATTGCGCGCACATCTAGTTCTAAGAAACGATCCACGTTTCTCGAACCCACGTTGTATGAACCGAGGGAGCCTGGACTGGAGATGGTCGACATCACTGAGTCTACTCAGGAGGGCTGAGCTAGACGATCGTGCCATACGGTAGCGGAGCAAAGTCGGCCCAGCTAAAGCCCCCCATGTTGAAAGCTGTGCTGCAAGGTTGTACAAGCATGCTCGGGAATATGCTTGGGAACATGGTCGGCAACGGGAGCGGACTGATGGCGGCTGACGTGGTCGGCATGCAGGTAGTTGGCATACAGGTGGTTGGTAGGCAGTTGTAGGTCTGGAACGGCGAAGGAGTGAAGGGTTGGCTGTAAGACGGGGTCGGTGAGGCAAGTTGGGCATCACTGAAACTGAGACTAGCCCAAAGATTCGGATTAGAATCACCCGTGGTGGCCGGGTTGGGGCTGGGCGACAGTACTTTCCACGACTCGAGTGGTGCTTGTTGGGGCACCGGGTTTTGCCACCAGTTTTCCGGGCCTGTCGAACTAGGCAGGAGAGGAATTGGGCGCATAACATCCACCACTGGAGGTGAAGGGGCAACCAGTGGGACAAAGAGCTTGCCGATGGCTGCCTTTGCTTCGTCGCTGCGACCGCTTAGTAGCTCTCCGGCGCCGTCTTCTTCTAGCCCCTCAAGTGCCTGGGCATTGGCACGGTAGACAAACTTGTTGGCTGCTTGGACAAACTCCTCCTGTAACCTCTTCAGCTCACCGTGCTTTCCTGGCCAGTCGTATGTGTTGGCGGCGGCATCCACCGAGTAGACATCCTTGTGAAAATCAACCAGGGATTCGATGGTTTCCGGAGTCAACTTGAAAACCACCTCGTTGCGGGAGACCATGTCGACATGTACAACATAGGCCTCCATGTGAATCATTTGGTGGCTGTGCAGGGATTCCCAAAGCTGGTTCTCGTTCTTCTCTAGCTCTGCCTGGGGGGCCTTGGTGAACATCATGGAACATAGAGTCCAGATTGCATTTTTTGACGAAAGTGTTTCCGTCAAACACCGGGTATGCTGGGTGACATTGTTCAAAGGACGCTTGACCCGGTTAACTCGCTTCAGGGTGGCCGTCAACCAAGGCTCAACCTTGGTATTCAACACGACATTCGGGGATGATCGCGGCGCAAAAGCAGCGGCAGAAGATGGGAGTAAGATTGTTTGCATTATGACACTGTGCGAAAGGTGATACGTCCGGCGTTGGTATAGTTGATATAAATGAATGTAGAATATAGAACATGAATCATAAAGGCGACATTCGCCCACACAAGAAGTTTTGGATTTTTTTTGAGATTGGGTTGATATGTCGAGTAATCCAGTATTAAAGTGCGGGCGAATGCGCAAAAAGAACAGAAATTATAATATAAAAGAAAGGAGATGACATGAAAGTCAGTCAAGAGTGAGGTTATAGAAGAAAAGAGGGAAGTTAAGAAGAATAATAATTAAGAGGGGGACCATAAGCGGAGATTTAATGGCCACAATAATATGTTAATTTTTCTATTTTTTTGGCTCTTAGGACATATTAGGAAAAAAAAAACATATAAACCAAGTTTTCTACGGTATTATTCTGGTATGCAGCTTGATGGAGTCAATGTCAGTGTACGGAGTACGTACATACACATCTCGGACTCCCCGATCTGCAACCTGAAGACTCAGTGGCGATAATACCACTTGAAACGGTTCGAAATGCGCGACATCTAAACGTTTCATCAAATTTGACAGGTTGACTCGCACAGTGCCAGTCTCACCCGTTGCACGTCCATTTGGCCAGAACAGCTGCATGGTGCCCTAAACTGCAACAGCTAAGCCCCAATGATCCATGGAAACGGCCGTGAACGGAAAGAAACAGGAAGATTTGAGTCTCCATAGATCATCTAGAGCGATCAAATTACTATCTACAACTAGCGGGGACTTAAAATATACATTTCTCAGCTGGGCGATGTGCATATTTCAGTGTGCGCCAAGATCTACACATCGTTAAAAAAGATACAGGATCCTCAACACTAAAGATTCCACGCTTGGGTGAAGACTCTAATTTAAATTTGGCTGCAGGCCAAGCCTTAGTTTCGATCCCATTTTCTGTTTCAACATCGTTTGTGCTTCAATATCCAACTGGATATTAGCCTTGGAGAAGAGAAAATAATACTCCAAGGTTTACTGTATTAACAAATTACACGAAACACATCCATAACAACCATATCAACCATATCAAGGTTTTTTTGGACCTATCGAGTGCCGCTAGGACGATACAGAGTCGTAGACCTCAGCTGATGGAGGGTCGACCAAGCGTGGGGCAGAGCCCGTCTTGAGTCACTTCAGGGCTGGGATTCGCTGAGACCAACCGAGTCCGGCCAATGCACAGGAAGCTGAGATCCCTGCTACGATCTGCCATTGGGCTGAGCCTCCATTGCCAGACTTTGGGTCGGCGCCACTAGCCTTCACGTACTGAAATACCGTTTCCTATTGTTTTCTCCACATGATTCATGTCTTCAATGATCTCATCTTACTCTGTACTCCGCAGGCGCCTCTGCCTCTTCCCTAAAATGGAATCCCTGCTGCATATGAGTTCGGTCACATGGTCTTGTGTGGGTGTATGAGGGTTCGCTTTGAGTCGGATGAGCTTTCGTCATTGTTATTGTGTATCTATAGAGTAGCATGGCCTAACGATATGCGACCGAGGTCGCTTTTCCTAAAATAGATATGAGGCGGTGCAATTTACTCGCCACGTTGTGGCGGATATCTCCGGCCCCACATGGACATACAATGCAAAGCCCTAGTTACTACGGAGTAGTACAGTAGTAACTTACTACTCCGTATATTTTCTTGCCTCCCTCTGTCCACTTCACTTGTCTTGCTGAAAACCCACTGGAGAAGAGGTATGAGTTGGCAAGAGTTGAGAGCTGGAATCTCAGGTAGATCTTAACCACATCCACAGCCAGGCGGGTACTGAAACCCAGCTCTATCAAGCCTAGTTTCGTAATTGTCAAGGCTGCCATCAAGTTGGAATATTGACATCACTGCACTATAAACGGAGTTATATCTGAGATCCATTATATTTTGCAGACCGCATCTGTTATGACCCATATGTGTCTGATGATGTTCGATTTGAAACGAAGCTAGACAATGCTCTACTATTGGACGCGATACCGTTCGTTGGACAAACTCCTAGGTGAATCCGGAATAAATCATTGCTTTTAGCTATGCTAAGCAACTGCTTTACTATGACTTATGCTTTTGGAATATACCCAAGGGGCTTATTCATGAATGAGTGGTACACTTGATCATGAAACCCGTGACTCACAAATCATTGTTCATTTTGCAACAGCCCTGATAGAATTTCCTTTCTTCTTCCTAGACATCCCCTATTGTTGGGTAGTACTCAAACCTCCGAGTAATGCGTTTGGCTGTGTTGAAAATCTCCGAACATTTTTTATGCTAGTTGGCAGCCTTGGAAACAAAGCACCCTTACCAATAAGTCAGGTCGGAGAGTATGGTAACGACATCGCTACTGAGAAAGCGTAAAAACATCTTTCGTAGCATTAAACATTGTGGCGTTATGACTACTCTTTTATACATAATATTGACTCGGTGAGCATAAATTGTACCTTTCTATACATTTAGATTTTTCAGTTGGTCCCTATAGCTCCGAAGAGCAGTTCTTCGACAAAATACATTACATTAACGAATACATATATTGAGCCTCATCGTTCATGTCTCACCAGTAAGGTATGGCTTGTCGCTTCCTCATAGTACGACTCAAGGACTCGGTTTCCTGATAAGCCGTTGGAATAACGATACGTAAGAATACTGCTGAGTTGTCATTAGGGGTTATCATTCGACAGGATGTGGTGGTCTCTCTCAAAAAGAAACTCGTTACTCCTACCTATTATATCTCTTCGGCCTTAATAACTCCCTCTAGCTGTGGCCATGAGATGGCATATCTCTTGGCGGCTTTTCACACAAACGTTTGTATAGTGTGTTGAGGGCCATAGCCTTACACCTTGTTCTCAATCATTGTTAGGTTATATTCTACTACGGAGTAGGCGAGTTGACACATTCCTACGATGACGTAAACTATGTAGCAATGCGGGAACCGTGTATCTAGCATCGAATGACTGTTGGAGCTTTTATTTTTAGCGTAGGGGAGCATAGAGTGGCCGAGTACCGTATGAGGATGTAATTCCAAAAATAAGAAAAGCATAGCGAGTGAGGAAAACATATGAAGAGAAGATTATCACACAATGGGGCTCTCCGGGATAAAGTTAAGAGGAGGGTAGGAACTACACGAGGAACAATGGATAGTTATAGAGATACATTGTTGTTCTCTCCGCAGCTCTATATACTCACCCGCCTCATGGGGGAGCATATACCAAGGTCAAATATGCCATTGTTAAGGAACAAATCACGTAGACCGGAAACCCGCAGCAAGGTTGAACGAAACATAGTGAGGATAGTGAACTTGAAACACTATTGATCGAAGGGTGTGGTTCATTTTCTCACTGAGATACGCTTATCATAGGGCCCGACACTGTCCCTCCTGGCTTGATTTAATGCATCGTCTCGTTAGACGAAACCAACGGTCAAGTGCGATATCTGCTCAGGACATTAAGCCAAACGAGATTAATACCATCAAGCAAGAAAGCAACCATAGTGCAAACCACGCAAACTAAGCGAGATGCTAAATCTGCAAGTCGTAAAATCCAGCATCGCTATTCGTGGCTCCCGTAAGTCCAAGCAACTAGCTTCATACAGTGGACGGATCGATTGACGACATATGAACCCCAACCTCGCCGGCGGCTTGGGAGGTCATAGACAGCCCGCTCGAAACCGTGAAAACGGAACGAAAAAGCGTAGTTCTCCGCCGGCATCGGGTCCAATCACCCCATTCCCACTGACATCTCTAGTTGTACATAGGAAAGTCCTCTGCATGGTCTATGCTTTCACAGCCTTCGTATACGTCTAAACAGAACATCTCAAAGCATGTCGGGGTGTTTTATTGATGCTGTTTGAATTTCCGACGATTTGATCTGGATGGGTTGCTATTTAGATAGGAGAATTATTTGACATGTGATAATAGCTCTTCGATTTCCATGAGTTAATATTGTGCGCGAGAGGCGTTTATAATTGTGCTGAAATTCCCCAAAGAGTCGAGTGACGTTCGCTTCAAGATGTTGGAATTGGATTGGAGAGCCCATTGGCATAGTGTTCAAGCGAACTCTCACACGGATAGACATAGGCGCAAATGTTCCTTAGCTTGCCTGCCTCCCCACATTTAAACCAAACAGAGATGTTCTTTCTAAAGAATTGTTGACAATGATATGATCCATAGTGAGTGTCGGGGTAGTTGCCTTCACAGGAATTATAGATGAAGAGTTCTTTCGAGCTGAAAGCGAATTGAGTTTCTTTTGTGAAGCGTAGGCTGTCCGCCAGAAAAGGTGACAATAGCGTGAAGAAAACCTTGGTTACTCCTTTGTCGTCTGAATGGTTTAGAAAAAGCGCTGCTGTCACCTCCCTCAAGACGGAATGTCCGATGCCTTGGTCTCTTGAAACTTGGACACGACCTTCATCTCGGTGTCGCGTTCCTTGACCTTTTTGTCAATAGATTTTTGAACCTCCTCTCGTTTCCGTTCCGCAGTCTCAATCTTCTCTTTCACCTCTTTGGCAATTTCTTCCTGCGCATGGAGCGCTGCCTCACGTGTTTTGTATTGTTCTTCCAGTTGCATAAGCTCAGTTTGGTAATCCCGATGTTTGATTGGTTGGCATGTTACTGGGTCATAGCAATATGATGGCAGTGCCCCTTGTGGAACTTTTATTTCGGTGAGATCGGGGTGGATTGGGGTAACGCGGGTTGTTGAATCCAAAGGGACTGTTGCGGCTTCGGCAGGGAGAGATGAAGCGGGAGGAGTAGGCTCGGGTTTCACCATGGTCGTGGAGCGATATAAGGTTGAAAGAAATTGGTACTATTTCGCAAGCAACAGGTATTGATCGCCTGAGACTTTGGGAGAAGAGGTGAGATGGATACTGGCGAGTCTGGTTATTGATTCTGCCATGTTATGACACTTCACCGCCCATAATGTCCACGGTGTATGCGGGGAGGACTCTTAGCCAATTTGACGACGCTATCACTGCTTGGCATTTGATATTCATGCTAGTTGAGTTTCTTCTCAGCCTCAGACCGAGATATTTCCTCGAGGTCGGTCCTGAGTGGACCAGTTGATGTGCTTGTGGCATCTGAGTTCCCACAAGCTTGAGCCGGTGACGTGACCGTTAACATGCAGGCATTTGGTATGTTCCTCTATACCTGTTAATTGATGTAAGCTAACACACTCACCATAGTCCCCAAGAATAGACGAGTAAGTTAACCAATAAAGCCGACTGAATTACATCTGTAACTGACTCTGCTACAGCCTAGGTTCGAGCTCATATTAAGGGTATGCATTATACACAGACCGTCGAAATGTTATTAAGATTTCTGACCTCAAAAAGATCATCGATATCAATAACGTCCCCTTGGGAAACAGCGTTGCTTTTGTGCGATGGCGATTGCCATCGTCAAGCTCCACTGAACACCAAGGCTACACAGAGAAAGCAACTCTATTAGATCACCGCGCTTACTGGGGTTATGAGAAATGCCTTCAAGTAAGGCTTACAATTGACAGGACATCAATTCTTCAGGAGTGTGAACTCAATTTTGAAGTCATACAAGAGTTCACCTCGTCGCCCATGTCCGAAAAGAGCGTGCTGGGCAAAATCAAACTCAATCTTGCTGAATACGTGGAAAAAACCGAGGAAGACGAAGGGATCATTCGGCGATACCTGATGCATGAAAGTAAAGTGAACAGTACTGTCAAGATTGGGATCGCGATGCGTCAGCTAGAAGGAGACCGCAACTTCACGACGTAAGTGAAGCCCTAAACTTATTTCTGACCCACACTCTCAATGCTGATTACAAAAGACCACATCTGAAATCTGCCACTGTCTTTGGAGGAATCGCCGGAGTTGTTCAATCCACCGATCAGCCCGTCAACGCCGATGAATTTGGCCAGCTGCCGTCTATTGACAGCAAGAGCCGGGAGACTGCAGATATGCAAGACATGTATCGGCGCACCTTAGCAGCGTCGTGGTCTTCCAGAGCTGGTGATTTGCCTGCTGATCAGTTGGTTGAAGAGTTGTTTGCTGGAAGTTCCTGCTGGAACAACGATGCACACAATTCCCACGCTGGCATCTCAGCGGGCGATCGCCGTGATATCCTATTGACAACAGAGACGGCTCCACGACAAAGCCGGTCTGGCAAAAAATTGTCTCCAAGTTTCGAGCGGCGCCCTAAGAGTTCTTCCAGCAATCGCTCACATAGGAGCAGTAAGACCCCAGAGTCTCTCGCTGCGCTTGGGCATCAGAAGAAGGGTGGAAGCATCGAGCAGCAGTTGTATGAGGGGGTCATGGGTCGGGCATGGAAGGTGCCAGATACAAATAATGAGCTTTCCGAGTTCGATGTAAGAGAGGACTTGCGCAGCTGGGAAGTTGTACCAAAGGAATGAATTCTACATACCTTTCTGCGTTACTTATTAGCATATGGTTTGAATCATCTATTTTAGATAAACCATTTCGCACGGAATTAGGAGAGATATCTGAGAGAGCGTTGTCCTACATAATCAAAGTTCTTGTTGAAAATCGTACACATAGTAGATAGGGAATTCTGCCTGAGGCAGGAATTATTTTCTTATCGCGGCCTAGCGCCCCGATTATCGCCGGAGAAAAGTGATCACAGATATTTGCCTTCACCAGGTTTGCAATAGACCTATTGTTCTGTCATGCTTCGACGCCCCACAGGGAACAAGCTGGGGCTTCTGAGCTTCCAGTCGCTTTCATATCGGAGACCATTATTGTCATACCCACACGCTGTTCTTCCCCGATACCAGAGTAACTGGAGTCGCGATGATGAACGCGACGCTTTCGATGGCCCCAAATCCGAACGAAACCGCGAACAGAAAGATAATGGAAAACGTGAAACAGGCACGTTTACATTGGATGTGGATACGCTTGGAAAGCCAGGGCAAATAGTTGTTGTGCCTTCCCGTCGCCGCCGAATGTTGAATCGCAATCGCAACAAAAAGCCCGGGAATGAATATGCCGGCACAATCAGCACCATGTTGGATGAACTTAACGAGGAAAACTCATCGCCCAGCGATAAGTCAGTCCATGAAAGAATTGATGAGATTCGTGGATCATATCAAGTAGGACAGATCTTGCCTGCTGCCGATCTCAAGGCATTGTGGTCAAAATTAGCTTCCTCTTTCACATACAAGCAATTGTCGGAGTTTATTTCAGAGTACAACCGCAATTCTGTGATAGAAGAGAAAGGTTGGACATGGGGGTCAAGTAACTCCAAATCGTTATTGGGAAAGACCAAGGGCTTCAGGGGAAAATCCCGGGCTGCAGAGACGATCGTTCGGAATTGTTGGCAGCTGGTGGCTGATGGCGAGCGTGGCCAGCTGGAATTCCGCATACCAGCTCAATTCATATCCTTGCTTCTCCATGCTGAGCATTTCTCTTTCCATGAGCTAGCTAGTCTCCATGGCTGTGGTATTGATGTCACACAATCTGCGGGCCTTGTATCACTTACTGGCAAGCGAGATGATTGTGAGTCTGTGCACGAGATTATCATTGATGCCACTGGCAGAATCCGCGAGGATGATGTTGGAATCAACCCATATATTCATGGAGATGGAATAAGTCAAGTTTTTACACCAGACTTTTTGGAATGGGTCAACAGCACACACGGTGTATTTGTGGAACACCGAGCACACAGACCACCACAAAAGATTCTCTATCTTAACGAGAATAAGTTGGGAGCGGATAATGCGCGGAGGACCTTGAACTTGGCCTTATCCAACACTACATCTCCATCGACGCCATTTTCAACATATTTACCTGCTTCAGAACTTGCCAGTGCCTATAGCTACAAACCAGAAAGTCATGCTTCGTGGTTCGAGCAGCAAAAGTCTTGGTTCCGCTGGGCAATGTCTTCCAGTCAAAACGCGGAGGCGGAATCCCTCGAAACCCCTTTCTTCGACAAGCATCAAACACGACTCTCAGATGAACTATTGAAGCTTCTCCGGGTTACTCCTCCGAAGAACGGTTTTGTCGCCGGTTTGCATGAATCCGTGACAGCCGTGGTTGGGAAATGCCTTTTTATGCAAAAGCCCTCTTTCGATGATACAGCCATCAGTCCGGCACAGCTAGGGAGACTCTCCCTTCCACGGGCTTTCACAAACGACGTACCTCTGGTGTCGCGTTTCATCAACTCACTCACGCCTATTCGCCCGAAGAACGAGGCACAGCTATATCGACTTCGATTGTCTCCAACCTCAAACACAGCATCCCCACCGGAACTCGAAATTGAGATAGCCGTGAATTCAAACTTGAATGGCGTGGACGTCCACAGCGTAAAGGCTATCCTCGCCACAAACAGCGTTGACTACTTGCTTCCGGAAAATGGTCTGGACCTGCGTTTCACACGAACTATCTCCCAAGACCTCTTGTATAAGTCATCTCCCAACTCAGAAAACCCGCAAAGCTCCTCTGAGCACCTCTTCCCCGAGACTTCCTTTTCGCTCCCGATCCAAGTAATGCTGCAAAGCATTAAAACCTCACTCCAGGGCTCAATTGTCAACAGTGGGGCTTCGCAAGGTCCTGTTCACATTCCTATATTTTGCAACATCATCCTTCCCTGTGATCTTGTTCACCAGCCTGCCTCGCAAAAAACCAAATCCAAGAAGTCAGACGAATCAATGGCAGAGAGCAGCATCGCTGTGGAATACATGTTCCCTCCACTCAGCGACATTCGAGGCGCCGTTATCCAAAAGTACAACTTTGATGGACGGCCGCTTGACTACCGGTACTACGAAAGCGGTTCGTTCCTTGCTGCTCGGACAAACGAGGTCTCTCTGGGTATGCAGATTCCTCAAATTGACTTGGCCGCAGGGAATAACCACTCCGAGCAGCTTGATCATGAGTTCCACTCGTTCTACAACGCGGCATGTGACATGGCATTCAAAATCCACGGCAAAAGATACGTGGATTAATAGCATGGGTCACTTCTTTTTTGAATTTGTACAGCGTGCATCAACGGCCATCATGGCGGCGTCTTGGGTTTGTATTTACTGTACATTATGTAAAATATATATGCTCTAGACACGGATTATGCTTTGGCTTTTAATCTATATAGGCCGAGATTTCTCATTTGAAATTAATCTATTCTGACCGGGTATCGCAAAAATGCATAGAACATAATATAGGTTGTAGGCGTGACCTTGGTGAGGCCCCACAGCCGATCAAGGCCCGTGACGTGTAACACCACTCATCCCAACTACATGTACTCTGCGCGCCTCACGATAACTCCAAGGCGGCCCAGGCAGGTGCTTGAGACTGAGTAGTCGCCCCAATTGATTACAGACCCACACTAAATTATATATACCTATATTGGTCCATCTCACTCGTGATCACTGCTGCCCTCCGATTCTCCGCTTCTCCTGTCCTACTGTTCCCCTCACCCAGCATATTCATCATGAAGACCATGCGCCAGTGATTTATACGGCATGGAGAAAACACGGATTGCTAAGGTTCGAAAAACATATCTTGAGTGCCACCACAGACCAATCACTGACCATGTCACTCCAGGTTGACAATGTGACCTTGGCTCGCCGCGGAGAGCAGGTCGATGGCACCCTCCATCTAACCCCTCACCACCTCATATTTTCGCACACCCCACCAATCTCACCAGAAGACCAGATAAAGGGCGTCATAACAAGGCCCAGAGAGCTGTGGATCACATACCCTATCATCGCTTTCTGCACCCTGCGGCCAGCTCCCGCCGCTTCCCGTCAGCTCTCCTCTATCCGCCTCCGATGCCGAGACTTCACATTCGTTTGTTTTTACTTTGTAAATGAGCACAAAGCACGAGATGTATTCGAGAGCATCAAACAGTGGACGTGCAAATCGAGTCGTATTGATAAGCTTTACGCCTTTAGCTATCAGCCTCCCCCGCCAGAAAAGGAGTTTAATGGGTGGGAGCTGTATGACCCGCGCAAGGAATGGGCACGCCAGGGCTGCTTGGACGAAGGGAAAGCATGGCGTCTTTCAGAGATCAACATGAACTACGAGGTATGCTCGCACAAATTAGTCCAAATGTGCTCTACTAACACATTTAAGTTCTCCCCTACGTATCCCGCTCTCATACCCGTACCTTGTTCCATCTCCGACAATACACTTAATTACGCAGGACGCTATCGATCTCGAGCAAGAATCCCTGCCCTCACATACTTTCACCCTGTCAATAATTGCACCATTACCAGAAGCTCACAGCCGCTCGTCGGTGTCCGCCAGAACCGAAGCATTCAAGACGAAAAGCTTCTGTCCGCTATTTTCTTGACTTCTCGCTCTGAGCGGCCATTGGCGAGTTTCTCGGTCACGGAGAAAGATACGGATTCTAGCAGCCCGGAGATGAACCAGGTGATAGTCCCCGAATTCACCAATGCCGAGGAACTCGAGGACGACCTGTTAGCTGCTACAAGTGGCGATTCTGAAGATCATCGCTCGATATATGGCGCTCAGCAGTCTAATCTGATAGTGGACGCACGCCCTACGGTGAATGCATTTGCCATGCAGGCTGTTGGACTTGGATCAGAGAACATGGACAACTACAAATTCGCTACCAAGGCATATCTTGGTATTGACAATATCCACGTCATGCGAGACTCGCTGAACAAAGTGATCGATGCTTTGAAGGACTCAGATGTTACTCCATTAGGGCCAAATCGTGACCAGCTAGCGCGCAGCGGCTGGTTGAAGCACATTGGCGGGATCTTGGACGGAGCCAGGCTGATTACTCGGCAAGTTGGTCTCACTCATTCTCATGTTTTGATCCACTGCTCTGATGGCTGGGATCGCACGAGTCAGCTCAGTGCGCTGAGCCAGATTTGTTTGGATCCTTACTTCCGGACGCTGGAGGGATTCATGGTGCTGGTAGAGAAAGACTGGCTTTCATTTGGACACATGTTCCGACACCGGTCTGGTCATTTGAACAGCGAGAAATGGTTCCAGATTGAAAATGAACGCATCGGTGGAGATCCAAATCGTGCATTTGGTGACGGCGGGGGTGCAGGCAAGGCCATTGAAAATGCATTCCTTAGTGCCAAAGGATTCTTTGGTCGGGACAACAATAGCCGTGACTCTTTGCCGGACTTGGATGGAGAGCTTCAAACCTATGACTCTGACACTCCTGCGAAGAAGCCTACTATACCGCGCTCGGGGGTTCCCGAGAAGGAGATAACTAAGCCAAAAGAGACGAGCCCTGTGTTCCATCAGTTCTTAGACGCAACATATCAGCTGCTTCATCAATATCCGACACGGTTTGAGTTTAATGAGCGTTTCCTGCGACGACTTCTTTATCATCTCTACTCCTGTCAATATGGCACATTTTTGTTCAACAACGAGAAGGAACGCGTGGATTGGAAAGCCAGTGAACGAACCCGTAGCGTTTGGGATTATTTCCTCGCTCGCAGGGAACAATTCACGAACCATCTGTATGACCCTGTCATTGATGACAATCAGCGCGGCAAGGAACGACTTATATTTCCCCGGGTCAATGAAACACGGTGGTGGAATGAGGTATTCGGTCGAACAGATGCGGAGATGAACGGCCCCCGTTCCTCATCGGCACCCAGTGATATCCCGGAAAATACGGTGTTGACTGGTATTGAGACTGCAAGGCCAGATAGTGCTGTCAAAACGACTGATGTCTCGGGGATGGCAGCTGCTGTGACGTCGGGTGTATCTAAGCTTGCATTTCCAGCGGAGCGCACCGATAAACCGACCGAGTTAGAAGTAGAGATGCAATGAACGGGATAATCAAAGGAATCAGATATGATTTGCAAGAATTTACAACTGTATGTTATGCATCTGCGTTTAAACAACCATGAATGATTCGTCCAATGACGGAGTACTCCGTATAGTTCGATGTAATGTTAAATCGTAATCCGTAGACTAGGTAATGCCTTATTGCCTTACGAATATTGCCTCAGGGACAAGGTAACAACACTAGGACCAAACAGGAAAAGCGCCGGCAAGCGAGGGTTGAGCCCTGGCCCAAACGGGCAAGCAGCCCTAGTCCCGAAAAATCCCCACTAAATAATGCACTCTCAGAATTGAAGTCTCTCGACCACGATCCCCTCCGTCGACAACCCCCGATTCCACCACCACCAGGAACGTCAAAATGGCCGCTGTTCAGGGAGCTATTTCTAAGCGCAGAAAGTTCGTCGCCGACGGTGTCTTCTATGCCGAGCTGAACGAGTTCTTCCAGCGCGAGCTGGCCGAGGAGGGCTACTCCGGTGTGGAAGTCCGTGTGACTCCCACTGTCACCGACATCAGTACGTCAAATCCGAAAAACCAATCCCTCGTGTGATCGCTTGAAAATCGCTGGTGAAATTGCCTGGAAAGAGGAGGAAGAGGACGATTTACGATCGCGTTGGGATCTGCGGAATTCGATTGGGGATCTGATGCTAACGGGCTTTCCAGTTGTCCGTGCCACCCACACCCAGGAGGTTCTCGGTGAGCAGGGTCGCCGCATCCGCGAGCTCACCTCCCTCATCCAGAAGCGCTTCAAGTTCCCCGAGAACTCCGTCTCCCTCTACGCCGCCAAGGTCCAGAACCGCGGTCTCTCCGCTGTCGCTCAGTGCGAGTCCCTCCGCTACAAGCTCCTTAACGGTCTTGCCGTTCGTCGTGCCTGCTACGGTGTCCTCCGTTTCATTATGGAGTCCGGTGCCAAGGGTTGCGAGGTTGTTGTGTCCGGAAAGCTCCGTGCCGCCCGCGCCAAGTCCATGAAGTTCACTGTACGTCTATACCAGAGGAATTGCGCCGGACGAATCAATCGCAAAACGAGCTTTTGAAGAATATTATGGCTAACAAGTAACAGGACGGTTTCATGATCCACTCCGGTCAGCCCGCCAAGGAGTTCATCGACTCCGCCACTCGTCACGTTCTTCTCCGCCAGGGTGTCCTCGGTATCAAGGTTAAGATCATGCGCGGCTCCGACCCCGAGGGCAAGGCCGGTCCCCAGAAGACTCTCCCCGACTCGGTCACTATCATCGAGCCCAAGGAGGAGCAGCCCGTTCTCCAGCCTATGAGCCAGGATTACGGTGCCAAGGCTATCGCCGCTCAGCAGGCCGCCGAGCAGCAGCGTCTTGCCGAGCAGCAGGCCGCAGAGGCAGAGGGTGGTGCGGAGACTTTCGCTCAGGAGTAAATGTTTTTTTCTGTCCTAACCTAACCTGATACTCTACCTCACGCAATCAAAATTACATGACCTTCAAAGCCATTATTCGCAATCCTATAATTTGTACTGGCCAATACGTTGGTCATCGCGTTGAAAGGTGTTCGAGGTGTGGTCTACATTGACCAGGAGAGGCTTTTCTTGCCATTGAATATCAGGTATCATACACCGGAATCAAAGCCTCGATATCTGTTGTCTAGTTCCGTGCGAGTTCCTCGATTACCTGGTGCCTACTTTGCGTATAGTGTGAGGGGATATCGATTTCATGTCCACATTCGAATCGGATCGAATCGTTCAATATTACTTTGGTTCAGAAGTGACAGGAATTTCGAACTGGAGCGTATATCAAGCCAACGACACACTCTTTGGTAGAAATAACTAATTTAAAGCCTTGAGACTTCCTTCATATCTCCTAGGAAATGGATCTCCAATTGAAATGTAAGCGTAGGAAGAATTCAATGCTCCCTTCAGTTATTATTTCATAACAAAATATCACCCATGAAATCTCCATACACATGCATATGCAACAACAATCAAACAAGATCGAGTACATCTCCTAATCAGTCAATCATAAAACAAATAAAGTCAGATTATCCCAAAATTCAGAAAGACAAGAAAAGAAAAGAAAAGGAATAAGTACTGTCAACGCTCACGATATGCTGCAGCGGCAAGCCGACTAGACAGCCGCTCGGGATGCTCCAAAACCTCCGAGTGCTGACGATGCAGCTCCTCGAGCTGAGCCAGGGGATTCTATAAACCGCCATAATAAGTACGTTGCACTGAGGAGAGAAGAGAACACATCAGCCGTAATACCCACCCATTCCTCCTGGCTACACACGCCCTCGGCGGTAGGGAGAGCGGCTGTACCGGAGGCTTCATTCCCGTAGCTGGTGCGGTGGATCGGGGCCGGCGTTACAGGCAGACTGGGGCGCTCGACTTCTGTTGGAAAGTCGGTAATTTTGGTATTGGGGTGGAAGCCTGGCGTGGGAGGTGATTTTCCGGGGCTGTTGGATTGAGCTCCCGGGCTGGTCACTTGTGATTTTGTGCGCCGTCCTTGGATCGTCTCAATATAGCGCTGAATCTCTGGGTCCTCATCCCAGGCGTTGGAGCGAGTGTATGTTTGCCATGATTCGGCACTGGGTTCATATGGTACCCGGGTGTAAGAAGATGAGGGTCCGGGAGGAGTAGACTCGCTTGGAGGTGAATGCTGCTTTTTTTCTGATGGTACCGTGGGAGTTTGCACTAACTCTACAGGTGCCTCGGCGAAGACGCGGGTGGGTTTCGGAGCATGGTGCTCCCAGGGGAAGACCGTAGTAGGTTTAGGCTCTGGTTTGGCTGGAACCTCATACCACATGTTTTTCGGCGCCTCGGGGTAGGATGACGGGGGTTGGAATAGATGCGTGTCTTCAGACATATTGTAGGTTTTCTGTTGTAAGCTAATACCTTCGGGTCTCGTGTTGACCGGTGGCGGCTCTCTATGGGATATTAGCATTGTAGACGACGCCGAGGGATAAGCTCTCACCGTGAAGGATCCCACGTTGGCGCCTCAAAGGTCGAGGCATCTGGGGCCGGAGATGGGGGCGATTGATACTCGCTAATTGGACGAATCGGCACCAGCGGCTGTGGTTGGTGAATATGGCCACTGGGATAGTGGAGCTGTGCCTGTGTCGGTGTTTGAATCTCTGGCTCGTATGTTTCGTGGCTCAGTCGAGGCGCAAAAGTGATTGGCGCGGGAGGAAATGGTGGGATAAATGTTGAGACATGCTCCTCTCCGCGAACATACTGCGGTACCATACTCAAAACAGGAACGGCAGCAGAGTGTTCGTGCTCGACTGATTTGCCGTGGAAGCTCGTGGGATCTCCAACAGGACCTTGAGCCAACGCCGTTTTTTCAATCTCAGCTGACGTGGTCGGTACCTAAAAATGTCAGTCCATATCTTCATAGTCTTTCATACCACTTACAAATGGCAGACGATAGTGTCTGTCATAGATAGCCCACCACTGGCCTAGAAGCTGATTGTACGGAGACTCCAGCGGGACAATCTGTCTCGGCATATTCCACGGCTTCCGGGCACCAATGAAATGGATAAGACTGATGGTACTCTGGAAATGCTTGTACGCAGGAATGTACTGGTAATTGGCACTTGGCGTGCAGTTATACGTGAAGCTTAGCCTATGCCAGTCCTTGAAATGCATGTTCAGCAGACCCTGGTCAGCGCCATCGAAGCTGATACCTCGTTGGGCGAGTGCCCTCAGCGCATAGTAGTCCTGTAGATTAGGTCGGAGAACCATCATTCCACTATTAAAGCAATCCGGCCAACCAACGTCAGGCGCGGCAGCAAAGTCTGCTTCCAGTGATAACAGCTCGTCAGGGGCTCGGAGAGCTATGATATCACAATCAAGGTATACGACCCGCTGGTATTGCGTCAGGCGCCAGAGCTCGATCTTGGTGAATGTGGCAATTAGGTCGGGACGGTCCATGAGCCAGAGATTCGCCGGCGTGTCGTTTACCATTGAGTTCACCGGGACCAGCTCGTCGTAGACGGTCTAATAGGTAAGCCAAAAGTATAGGAGATTATGGGGATGCTGTACGTACCCTTAGCTCATCAATGGTGGTCGATTGTAGTCGGTCTGGCGTAAAGAGTGCCACCAATTTCGCTTTTGTACCATTGTCACGTAGGGAATGGGCAAGGACCATAGCACCTATAGATATTTAGAATAATTCCACATCCCACATGAATGGGAACTTACCGGGAAGATAATTGTCACTCAACAGAAGCTGTCTCATCGGTCAGTTTACGCCGTACGCATAGGGGGGGGGGGGGGGGGGGAAGGGGCGGGGGGGGGGGGGGCCCGCACAGGGAAACCCGCACCGACCAGGCGCCACCAGGCGCCGGCGAAACAAAGCTCCGGCCACCCAACTAGGGGGGGG